CGAAAAGGAGGGACTACTCGTAGTCCACTATTGTACTACCACAGTAGTATGGATACAGTCAAGCAACGTTCTAAAGAGAAGACAAGGGGTGAGCTTGAAGAAAATTCTCTTCAATCAAGTTCACAGAATGAGGATGCTGAGTGTCTGCCGCCCTCGGTCGAAGAGTCTGAAGCGGCTGTTGAAAATAACTTTCCTGAGCCCGTTGGAAATGACTTTCCTCAACCCGAGTTTGTTCCCGAGCCCGTTGCAGGGCCTTACGATAGCCCAGCAAAGAAGAAGTACCGATCCGACGTGATTTTACACGCTATAAGGTGCCTATAACAACAGAAAGATACCAATCTGCTTGTGTCCAAACAGGTCACGTTAGAGCATAGGGAGCCCACACAAGCGGCGTGTGTGGTCGTATGTTCGAAATATAAAGAAATCATATGGGAGAATATTGAAGAGTCGTAATATCGTAAACTTATATCAAGGAATGTCTATGTTAAGGCTCAAAATAAATGTAAACCTACCTCACTTGCTGTGTATTGTCGTTTCTTTGGCTCTAAATGGCGAATTTGAACGATTTGGTGGGTTTTGCGTTGACTATTACTTCACTTTATAAGAAGGAGACGTGAAGTAACAGTCAACCCAAAACCTACCAAATCGCTCAAATTCGCCATTGAGAACCACAGAAACGACAATACACAGCAAGTGAGGTAGGTTTACATTTATTTTGAGCCTTAACATAGACATTCCTTGATATAAGTTTAAGATATTACGACTCAGTCTTCAATATTCTCCCATACATTTATTTATATTTCGAATCAAACGACCAGGCACGCCGCTTGTGTAAGCTCCCTATGGTTAGAGAAGTGTGGAAGCAATTGCAAGAGAGTGGAGAGAGCCGAGCATACTTTACACAACAAGTAATCGAGTCCATAGAAGCTGACATTAAGGAATGGGAAGAATTTCAGAAAACCAAGATAAAAAGCAGGGAACCCTTAGAACTTACTGTGTGTTATCTCGGAGGGGAGAATCCTATCAACGATCTTGAGGTCCTTGTTGACTATGGTGTCCTCCCACAGAATGACTGGGCAGTGGAGAAAGATTCTGAAAAACTCGAAGAAGCACGGAAAGCCATCCTCAGCTCAAAGTTAAGAAATGTCCGATTGTTTAAAGGTGATATCAATAATTTTTTGAAAGACTATAAAGGAAACTTTGATATCATTGACTTTGATGCTTGCGGTACACTTCCTTTAATAAGACAAAACTCTTATGTTTATCGGAGTTGTCTTCCAGTATGATAAATTGACATCTCCTGG